GTGTGTGTGTGTGTGGTTCATCAGAGATTGTTGATATCGTCTCTGAGCTTGTGTTTGTGTGTAGGTCCCACATTCGCAGCGGCGTCGTGTCTGTCAGGTGCTCGTCAGGGCAGCGTTCATCTGTACAAAGCGGATCAGTTTCCTCGAGGCTCTCTGGGTCCTGCTGACTTCCTGTGGAGGCCCCGGGTCCCTGACGCCTCAGACAGACAGCTGTGGATCTGGATCCATCCGGCCCTAAAACAGGTCAAACACTGAGGCCAGAAACAGACTCAGATGCAAATGCTTGACCAACATGTTACAAGCGTGTGGTTTCTCATGTGATGCCACTGGATGTTGTTTATAGCTTGTATTTTGTCGTAATGAAATTTGTTTTATATATATATATATATATATATTTGTATGTATAATGGGCGTGTGTGTGTGTGGCAGGACATGCTGTCGGAGCTGCAGCTGGTGTGTCGTGTCCGTCTCGGAGGAGTCTTGTCCCGCCGTGGAGCCGTCTTCAGAGAGGAAGAGGAAGAGAGACGAAGGAGACGCTGAGCAACCCTCCAAAAGGCTCTTGGTGGACGGGACGAGGCCCGCCCTGGCCCCTGTGCGCTGGCAGTCCCCTGACACGGCCATCACGTCAGGTGCCATAAATACACTGACCTGCTTTAGAAACGCGTCGGTGCACGTCCTCATCATTAGTCATCTAAAGCAGCAGTGTTTCTCAGCACTGCACTGGCCGCTTTGGTCCTGCACTGATTTCTCTGGTGTTTTGAGTTGTGATGCTGCATGTGCTGAATTAGCTCCAGTGATCAGATGTTACTGTAAAGTATGTGTTTGCTCAGGGTTAGGTATAGCTGTGAAATGTGATCTTTCCTCATATCCTGTGTAGTGACCTGACCATGGAGATCGTGTGCTATCGTCTGATTGGTCCGCTGGCCCACACGGTGCTCACAGACACACTCCATCCAGCCAGTGAGGTGAGAGACTGCTGATGACATCACGCTCGCGCTGTCATTGGTGCGCTGATGATTCACTCTGGTGTCTGTAGGAGACGGAGGCGTCCAATCGCAGTGCAGATGAGGCCGGTGTGAGCGTCCATCAGCAGCAGACAGACATATTCTTCCTACTGAGAGGTGAACGAGACTATCGTCACATGACTCCAGTGCTGCTTTATGTGGAGACAGAAGATGTCTTGTGGTGTGTCTTTGTTTGAATAGCTCAGTGTGTGTGTGTGTGTGTGTGTTTTACAGGAGTGTGTTCGACAGCAGAGCCCCCAGCAGGCTGTGTGTTGGGACTGACTGTAGATGATCCCAGACTCACTTTAGCTCAGAAACGTGGTAAATCTGTACCTGACCTGCAGCAGAGCGCAGGTACACATGAATCCACTGCGTCACGCAGGAGTGTGTGTGTTTGACCCTGAGCTCAGGGAGCCGCTGCGTCTCCATGCAGATGAACCAGGTTCGAATCCTGGCAGGGCCTGAGACTCTGTCTCTTCTCACACACACAGCACTGTCTCACTGCACCAGAGTCAATCACACTTCAGGAATGTTTTCGCTGTGATTCTTCTCAAACTCAGAGAGTGTGTGTGTGTGTGTTAGAGGACAGTGGTGTGAGAGATCTGACTCTCAAAGGAGTTGCGGCTCACTGCAGTCAGAGTGCATTGTGGGACGCGTCTGCTCGAGACTGTGTGACGCACAACCGACTGTCTGAGCAGGTAAACACACACGAGGCTCTACAGGCTGTAATAAACGGATCATATGGAACATGCTTTTGCTCTGTTTATAATGTCGTAATTCATTGGGTCTAGAGTCTCTGACTGCCTCTTTAAGATATCTTTGTGAACATCTCTTCATATTGGTGTTGATGTCCATAGATCTACAAACATCACAGTCCTCATGACTGGAGCTCCTGATCGTGGCTGTTTGGAGGAGATCTTTTAAATGACTCTTTCCGATGTATGTAATGATGAAGTCGTGTCTGTCTGTCTGTCTGTCTGTGTGTGTGTCTCTGTGTGTGTGTGTGTGTGTGTGTGTGT